AATTACTTTTTTTATTTACTCCTTTTACTATGTACTCCTTGTGTATAAAACCGGTTACCGCATTTTGCTACATTAACCTAAGTAAATACATATATCACTATATCAGGCCACTTTAGTGCCGCTATTATTCCAGTATATATTCCAATAACTTTTTCTTTTGAAGAAGACTAATGTTAGTTTTTGAGAGTAAGACAAGTTTGACGCTCGCCGTGTACAGAAAATATCACAGCGCACGGCAGTGCGCGCGAGTGACGAAAGCAGCCTCAGTAGCATGCTGAAATGACTCGCTTATACAGGGTGTCCCAGAAGTAACCTGCCAAACTTTAGGGGAAGGTAGGTGGAGGGTGAGCTCTNTCTTTAACTGCAACTACAAACCGGGCAATACTTAGTAAATTTTTTATGTAAAATACTTCCAGATAGTTGCCTCTCCATACTCAAATGCAATGTAGTTAAAATATATTAAGGAACCATCATAAAATTAGGACTATTTCTGGATTTTTAACTTTTTGATATTTTCTTCCCCAACTTTGACTATCTCGGGTGAAAAAAAAATGTACTGAGCTATAACTTTACATTACACAAAAAAATTGCTCATTTAATAAAGATTTCAGAAAGGTGCCACTCTTACTGTTTCGAATAGAAAAAGAAGTTTGTGGGCAAAGGACTGAGACACGCTAAAATGTATTTAATAGATTTGTGAAATTGGACCTTTCGAACATTGTGTTATTAATACTATGACAGAGAACACGCAGTATACGTCGCATGAATATGCGGATATTCACCTAATTTACGGTGAAGCTTGCTGTAATGCCAGAGCTGCTCAAAGACTCTATGCAGAGCGATACCCCAATCTTCGACATCCGGGTCGAGAAGTATTCGCCCGGACCCATAGAGAAATATATGAAGGTAAGTGATTTTTACACCTTTCTTGTTTGCTTGCTTGTTAACTATCATTTTTCACTTTTTTAAGGTCGCATACCTGGAAGGCGTGGCGGCGAAACAGGACGTCCTGCAACGGTAGATGTTGAAGCTGTGTTAGAGGAAGTGGAACTAGGTCCATCGACTTCAGTGAGAATGATGGAAAGACGGACGGGAATACCAAAAACTACAGTTCACAAAGCTTTAAAAGACCATCGATTTCATCCCTACCACATTCAACGTGTTCAGGCTCTACAGGAAAGAGATTACCTGTCGAGGGTTAGATTTTGCCGTGAAATGTTGCGAATGCATGAATCAGACCCCAACTTTTTTAATAAAATAATTTGGAGCGATGAATCATCATGCAAACGTGATGGTTATTTTAATTTACATAACCTTCACAGTTGGCAGATAGACAATCCTCACGAAATGAGAGAAGATCGTTCGCAGTACCGGTACAAAATAAATTTATGGTGCGGTATTTTTAATTTTCAGATATTGGGACCTGTGGAACTGCCGCCAACGCTCAACTCTCACAGTTATTTAGAGTTCCTTCAGGAACGGCTTCCAACTCTTTTGGAAGATGTACCCTTAAACCTGCGGCGAAGACTATGGCTGCAAAATGACGGGTGCCCTGCTCACTACGGGAATGAAGTAAGAGCTCATTTAGACGAAACTTATTCTCGCCGATGGATTGGACGATACGGGCCAATCACGTGGCCCGATAGATCGCCAGACCTGAATCCATTAGATTTTTTCTACTGGGGCTGTCTTAAGGACAAAATTTATTCAAAAACAATTCAAAACGAAGAGCATTTGCGGGAACAAATAAATGGAGCTGCTGCTGAGATAGCCCAATTGAGTTTAAGATCTCTAACAGCGACTTTTCTTAAAAGGTGCCGAGCTTGTATTAGAGTAGAAGGTCGCCAATTTGAGCATATTTTATCAATAAATGAATAAATTTTTCTTCAAACAACTCATGTATATTTAATTTCACGTGAACCCATCCTTCATAATGTTCCTTTGTACTATTTAGCATGTCATTGGTCAGTAACAAGAGCAACTTAAATTTAAGTCTATTAAATACATTCTAGCGCGTCTCAGTCCTTTGCCCACAAAAGTGGCTATAACTTTTTTTTCTATTCGAAACAGTAAGAGTGTAATGTAAAGTTATAGCTCAGTACATTTTTTTTTTCAAAGTTGGGGAAGAACATATCAAAAAGTTAAAAATCCCAAAATAGTCCTAATTTTATGATGGTTCCTTAATATATTTTAACTACATTGCATTTGAGTATAGAGAAGCAACTATCTGGAAGTATTTTACATAAAAAATTTACTAAGTATAGCCTGGTTTGTAGATGCAGTTAAAGAAAATACATGAACAGGCACGATTTTTTTTCAATTAAAAAAAATTTAAATATTTCAAAAACGGTTACACTTTTACCTGAGAATTGTTTGTTTATCAGAGAGCTCCCCCCCCCCCCCACCTACCTTCCTCTAAAGTTTGGCAGGTTACTTCTGGGACACCCTGTATATACACGATATTTGGAAGTTTTTATCCAGACGACCAATCGACATGTTTGAGGTATCGTTGGAAAGGTCTTGTAGAGTGTGTCTAGAAAATGTATTCAAGTTTCATGAACAATTATCCGAATTCTTAAAAATTAGGCTAAAATATTGCGAATCAAAAAACGTTTTTTTGCTTTTGCCGGTTTAAGGGGTTATGAGGGTACACCCGACATATTTAGTGTTATTCTATAGGCCAATACCTTTCAAACGATACCTTATATGTTGAGTTCCGGCTACTAGTTGCAAACATATAGAGCTAAATGTGTTTTGGTTCGTGTCTCCACTTCGAGAAGCGTTGGTACATATGTATGTATGTGGCGTCTGTACGTACCTTCATTTAATTTTTTTTCAAACTTTCAGTAATTAAAGTACAAAAAAAACTAGGATGGTTTTGTTCCAGGATGTTTTGACTCGTATGCCTTTGTGGGCGTGGCTGGTGCCTGAAATTCGAAAAAAGGCAGTTTTTACCTCGCTTTTATTAGCTCGGGATGTAACTATGTAATATTGATGCGCCCAAAAGATGCAGCGATTTCTATTCTCAAGTTACATACCTGATGACAGTACGAATGGAAATTTTAATAGCGAGGTTTTAGGTTTTTAAACTATAATTTTATTTAAACTAGCACTTAGGCCGCACTACTCATTCCATACCATTCGTTACGATATCAGTAGAAGGGCCTTAAAACAAGCTATCTAATGCGGTCTTTTGCGTTTATGAAGTATAAATATGTCATAACGTTATCGGCCAAAAAACTAAAAATTGGGCTGCTGAAAATATAGATTTCGAGATTTTTCTCAAAAATTGGTTAGTCGATTTTATTCTAAGTTTCCCCAAGTCTAGCCCAAAACCTTAGCTTTCATTTGGTATATAGCTTTTATCTGGGAAAGCTCTTGTTGTGAAGATATTACGATTCAAATTGAAAAAAGTCGCCCCAAACAGCGACCAATGGTTTAAAATTAACATATTCGTCCAATTTGGTTACTTTAAGATATAAATATAACATACCCAGTTCCCCGAAAAAATTGCGCATTCCGCGATTGCCACTTAAACCGAAATTCCCTGCAAATCGGGGAATTTCCCGCGAGTTGACAAGTTGAAGGATGCAGCTGTGCTAATCACTTCGTACACACAATTTGTGTGTATTTCAGTGTTTTTTTCAGTCACATGCCGAAATTGTAACATTTCTCCCCATTTTAGTTGCAGATATGTACACAGTATTTAACTATACTACATGGGTTTATCACCCATACATAACCTACCTGGGAAGACGTGTACAATATTACCTACAGTTGCAAATAAATATGAATGTATGAATGCATTTAGTTCACCCAATGGTGCCGCTACTACCTACATACATATCGTCCTTTAAAACACAAAACCGCGTAACAACAAAATGCAAAGCCGCGTATGTCAGGTTGCATAAATTATTTTCTAGAGAGTAAAAACCCTCATATTTCAAAATGGTTCTCTGTTTTATAAAGCAGTCGCATTTCTGGCTAGTATATTTCAGGACGAATGGATAAGGATTGAGCCAAGAACTTGTGTGAGCAAATCAAATTTTTGGCGGCAAATGTGAGTTACGCGGTTTTGCAGAATGACGATACGCGGTTTTGTACTTTGAATGACGATGTGTATAAATTGCCACTGAGCAAAACTACTTGAGAAAAAAGCATTAGTTTAATAGCAAGAGTACACGTCACCGTACACGTGAAAGAAGTAAAACTTCTTAAAAAAAGCACATGTGTGCGCCCCACACCCGGCAGAAATCTTAACAAAAGTAAACTACGAGACAATCCGACAAATACAGTTGTTTATTGTATCCAAAGTTGGTACCAAGTTGATAAGTTTTTATCATTTCTCATAATTTTTATTTTTTTTTTAATGTTTTCGAATACAAAGGATATGATCATTCTTTTTCGCTTTATTCCGTATTCGAAAAACTATATGTTTCAATATACACATCGATTTGAGTACATAAGTGAGATTTATATTATATTTTTAGCAATTTATTTGAGAAAAATAAAACAAATAAATAAAAACTGCCTTGGAAACTGACGCAAAATAGTATTATTTATTCGGAACGTTCGAAAATCCGTCTACTGCTAGAAACACAAAACAAGAAACAGAACTTTTGCAACGATTCGTGTGAATAAAAAAGATTTTCCCTACGTTTCCAAGGCAGTTAAAAAATGCGTATAATTTTCGTCGCGAAATTGATATCATAAATTTTGTGTTTCTAGTTCAGCTTTCGTCACTCGAAAATTTTACCTCAAAGAGGTGTTTTATTTGATAGAATTTATAACGTGGAAAAAATAAAGTGTTTTTTCTTCATTTCACTACAAGTAGAGAAATTCTGATCGAATTTAACATTGGCGATCCTGCCAGGAGACGGTAGTCTAAATTAAACTCATTTGTTTAAGCGTGTATAATAATAAATATATACCAAGACATTTGTGATTAATTCGTGACAAATAAGCCCACGCGGCGCGTCCTTAAGGTCTATTCTGCAGATATGGCCGAAGTCAAACTTGCCAAATTGAAAATTAAACGCGGTACTCTAATAGCTCAGCAGCAGCGTGTAAAGGAGTTTATCGACTCCAAATTATCAAAAGCATCTGTTCAAGAACTCGAAACTAGAGCCCATGCTCTGGAGAAATACTACCATGATTTTGAAAGCATACAATCCAGCATTGAAGAACTTGAACCGGAGGAAGGGGACACCATTCGATGCTCATTCGAAGAGCTTTACTTTGTTCTTCGTCCCACTCTGATGGTTGCTATAAGGCAGTGTAAGGAGGAAGCAGGAAAAGGTTCAACAGCAACCACCAAATGTGAAACGATCGTCAGTAAGAAATTAAGACTGCCAGAAATCCCCTTGCCAACGTTCTCCGGTGACTACACCCAGTGGTTGTCGTACTACGACACGTTCTCTGCCTTGGTTCATCGCAATAGTGCTCTAGATAACGTCAAGCGATTCCACTATCTCCGATCTTCGCTTAAGGATGGTGCTCTCCGGCGTATACAGTTCATCGAAGTGACCTCTGACAACTACGAAATCGCACTCAAATCACTTGTCGGACGATATCAAAAGCGTAACGTCATTGTTCGGGGGCATATAAGACAGCTTTTTAATGTGCCTTCAAATGCCAACAAGTCTTCTTCATCGGCATTACGGGAGCTAATCGATTCAGTAAATACTCACCTGAGAGCATTATCGTCCTTAGGAAGACCAGTGGCACATTGGCATGATTTAGTCATCGAAATAGTTTTGCCAAAATTAGACAACTCCACACTTGAAAAGTGGAATGACGAAGCTCCCACTGATAGGCTTCCAACACTAGAAGAGGTTTTTAAATTCCTGGGAAAAAGGTGTACTCATTTAGAAGAAAGAGCGGCAGCAGCGCGTTCCACTACACAGCAATGCGTCAATAGTAATAAAAGCCTAAAACATTTTCGCTCTTCGCAGCAGCGTTTCGCCTTTGGTGTTTGCGAAAATGTAAAACCTCAGCGTAACTGTACGTACCGCAGTGGCACAAATCATGTTAAAGATTTGATGCTATCCATCAGAGAAATCTTTGTAATAATTGCCTAAAGGCTGACCACACGCACATAAACTGCGAATCTGAAAGGTGTAGAGTCTGCAAACGCAGCCACCATACATTACTTCACAACAAATCATTTTTCGTAAATGCAGCACCTGCTATTGAACCTTCGTCTTTGACTGCCACGTCTAATAATGCTCATACGGAATGACCATTAGCCACAATTTCATCTGCTTCCAACATCATGATCGCCGCCGGCACCTCCGCTTTTACTAACAGCTCTACTGCCTTCGACTCAGCAGCTAGCCTCTCCGCTACTTTGAATACACCTAGGTGTACGATCATACTGGCTACAGCTCTTGTTAAAGTGACAAACAACTGGGGCATGCCTATACTGTGCAGAGCGTTATTAGACTCAGGGTCACACAACTATCACCTCAAATACATCCGCTTATTCAGCTGAATTAACATTTTTGATATTGTCACGCATTAGTGAACCTCAGCCTGATTGTAATGTCAATATATCGAATCTACCTGCGAATGTACAGCTTGCAGATCCGTTGTTTTTTAAGCCTCAAAAAATTGATATGTTGCTAGGTGCAGAAATTTACGTCGATTTGCTGATAAATGAGCAATTTCGCTTAGCTGATCATTTGCCTATTTTGCAAAACACAAAGTTGGGATGGATAGTCCGGGAAGACTACCTGCTATTAAACAATCAAGCCTGCTAGCTAATAAAGTAACAACGACATCAATTGCGTCATTAGAACTGCTACTTCGATAGTTTTGGGAGGTTGAGACACATGCTCATTCCAACAAAAGTCTCACAGCAGAGGAAAAATTGTGCGAAGCTCATTTCTCGCCAACTGTGCAGTGTGCAGTAAATTGCAGATTTATCGTCACTTACGACAGCCAAGCGTCGTTTTTTCGCTCTAGAACGTAAGCATGCTAAAAATTCCAGTCTAAAGAAACAATATATACAATTTATGAGCGAATACGAAGCTCTTCATCATATGAAGCCCTTGGGGAACTATGCGGACATTGTTGCTAATAATGAAATGTTAGAAAATTGTTATTTTTTACCCCATCACTGCGTTCTTCTACAAAACTCCGCGTAATTTTCGACGCTTCGGCAAAAACGACCACCAGCGTCTCACTTAATGACATTTTAATGACTGGCCCTACAGTGCAAGCGGATTTATTTTCTGTTATTATTCGCTTTCGATCATATCGCTACGTCTTCACAACAGACATAAGTAAGATGTACAGACAAATATTGGTACGGCCCGATGATTGTCGATATCAACTATTACTGTGGAGAGAAAGTCCACTCTCTGAGCTTGGCGTGTACCAGTTAAACACTGTCACTTACGGCACATCAGCTGCTCCGTTTTTGACCACGCGCTGTCTGACAATGTTTGCAGAAAAAATATACGAAAATTTCCCCTCGGTTCTATAGCCTTAATAAAAGAAACGTATGTTGACGACACAATGACTGGAGCTAATTCACTTCAAGACGCTGCTTCTCACATGGCAGACCTTCAACGGCTTCTTTGTAAAGCAAGATTTCAGCTTCGAAAATATTGTTCTAATGCACCAGAGCTATAAAGACTAGTTCCTGAAACCCACAGAGAACCATTTCTTAGCATTGGCAAAAATGACGTTGTTAAAACACTTGGGCTAATTTGGGCTAATCCACTGACGTATTTACATATAACCTTTCCTTTGCTCGGCCAGCTACAATAACTAAGAGAATAGTTTTATCTGACCTAGGAAGAATTTTTGATCCTCTCGGTTTGATCGGACCCATTGTTGTACAAGGGAAGATATTCATGCAGGAATTGTGGAAGCTCAACATATCGTGGGACCACCCACTACCAGATAGCTACGCCAAGCGTTGGCTCGATTATGTGAATCAACTTGAAGCTATGAATCCGCTACGAATTCCAAGACAAATGATTTGCTCAAACGAAAAAAAATTCGTGCAACTACATTCATTTTCTGACAGTAGCGAAGCAGCGTACGGAGCTTGTTGCTGATTTGCTCAAACGCAAAAAAAATCGTGCAACTACATTCATTTTCTGACAGTAGCGAAGCAGCGTACGGAGCTTGTTGCTATCTTCGGAGTATTGACTTAAACGGTCAGGTTTGCGTTCGGCTTGTTTGCTCAAAATCCCGAGTAGCGCCAGCAAAATCTACTTCAATCGCCAAACTCGAACTACAAGCAGCATTACTGGCGGCGGAGCTAGTCGAACGGATTCTAAATACACTTCCAGTCGAAATCAACAAAAGGTTTTTCTACACTGACTCTAAAGTCGTCTTGGCATAGATTGCAAAACCCCCGTACACCTGGACTACATTTGTGGTAAATAGGGTCGCGAAAAATTCAGGAACTGACTCGAACTGACGAATGGGGATATGTCAACACAAAACAAAATCCAGCCTACCTTATTTCTCGTGGTACGTCTCCAAACGAATTTTCGCAATCACCCTTGTGGAACGGTGGACCGGATTTTTTACGCGATTCAGATTTCCAGCTTCAAAAATTACTGCCTGAAGAACAAGAAAAAGTGCCTGAGATACGGCCCAACAAGTTGGTGCTCCTTGCAGCAAATTCGCGTTATTTCGACATTACAGCGAATGTAAAGCATCGCCAATCGTTACATCAACTGGAACGTATAATTGTTGCTTATTGTCTTCGATTTTTTGGCAACTGCAAAACATCCACTGGTAATCGTTCAACAGGTTGCGAGCCAATTTAAAAATCTTAAAATGAGATACGTCAAATCAAACCTAATAAAATTCTGCATAAAACACTTTACATCACAATCGTTCCAGTTTTTTTTACTTTTTAATAAAAAAATTCAAAAAATCAAACTTTAACAGAAGAAAAATTAAAAAAATAACAGGTTCTGTGCCAAATTTTTTGCATTTGTGCTCAAACCTGTTCGGTTACGAAAAAAAATCAAGTTACTAATGAAGGAAAGCGAGGGATAAATTAAGAAGTAATGAGTGGTCAAATGAAAATATGCAAAGATTTTTTGTAAGAAAAATGAGCAGGAAAGAAAGTTACTCATACGCCGCGTACACCTGATTAACACGCTTTTCTGCTCATATTTCATACAAAAAAAACAAATAGAGTTGGTAGTCGTACTGTGCGGACGTGTTTTTAGTGCGCTCTAAGTATTTCTTTTAAACATAATTTTATTTATTGTGATTCTGATTTCGACATTTTGCCTAGTGCAATGAGACAGTGACTCTTGTCGTTTCAATTAAAATTGATGTGAATATTATCCATCACTATGCCGTGTGTTTGCAACCAAAAAGTTGATCGCGCGAAACCCAAAGTGCAATGCAATAATTGTAATATAATTGAAATATACCATCCCAACTCTGTTGGTGTTTTGCCAGCTGATTTAGACTATTTTGCAAATTCCAACAACAAATATGTTTGCAAAAAATGCGCGAATGCTCGCCGACTTTCTCTTCACTCTCCCCCGCGTCCCACTAATCGGGCCGCAAAGGCGACTTCAAATAATAAATCATTTAATTTTCCTTTTCTTGCTAATATTACTAATTACTCAAACTCATCTCATCAACAACAGCTGCCAAAAACAACGCTATCATAGTAGCACAATGCCACTCATATTTGACTTACAAACAAAATACGGGCAGGAATTTCAAGACTTCAACCCTGTTTTTATGAAACATTTTATTTTTATCAGTATTTTTCAGCATTTTGGAGCTACATATATTAAGTCCAAAAAAGCTACTTCGAACATACCTTCATCGGTTTTCTACAAAGAAAAGCTCGCGAATAGCCCTGAAGAGGCTGCAAATCTATTTACTGAGTATTTTTGCTCAAATTTCGTGACCGAGGTGGGCCATGACAGTAGTCCCATCCGCAGTTGTGTCTCCGACTCTACCCTATCATTTGGGTCGGTTACTCTGTCGGCTGAAGAAACAAATGGATCTTGACGGCTTATCCGCCATTATTTTTAAAAAATGTCCCGCCCTAATGGAACCCTTAACGATAATTTTTAATAAGTCTCTGTCCAATGGGGAGTTCATTAATGATTGGAAAAAGCCTTCCATAACCCCAACCAGATCAGGTTGATGCGATCTATACTGACTTCTCTAAAGCCTTCGATAGGGTTTCCCATAAAATCTTAGTGGCTAAATTATCGGATATGGGTTTTCACTCCACTTTTTTGCAATGGATTCGGTCTTACTTAGATAACAGACAGTGCGTAGTTGCCTTTGACAACGTATCTTTACAACCTTTCGTCGCGCAGTTAGGCGTCCCCCAGGGTAGTATAATGGGGCCTTTGCTATTTACATTATTTATTAATGATGTCAGCTCCTGCTTCCAAACCTCAACCTTAAAATCTACTCTACGATTAGAAACTTGCATGACTCCTGCGCATTACGACTTGAGCTTGATAAGCTCTACTCGTGGTGCACCTGGAATCGGATTTTTTTCTGAATGTAAAAAAGTGTTTTCATTCCACATTCACTATAAAATATAACCCGTTACTAACTAGTTATAAAATTTTTGGCTCAACCCTTGATGATATTACAGACTTCAAAGATCTGAGTATATATTTTGATTCCAAACATCGATTTACCACCCACGCCAGCTATGTTGTTATAAAATCGTTCGCTATGTTAACTTTTGTAAGACGTAACTGTTCAGCTTTCTTGGATCCATACACGCTCAATATGCTATATACTACATTAGTAAGATCTAGGATTGATGACGCAGCCTTCATTTGGAGACCGTATCACCTAACTCATATTAACCGTATAGAGCGAATCCAAAAAGTATTAAGTTTGCACTCCGTTCTTTAAACTTTACTGATCCTTTATCTCCCCACGAATCCCGTTGTCAACTTTTATCCTTGAAAACTTTACAGTCCAGATCTTCCTTTCTCTCTTGCAGCGTTGTATTGAACCTGCTAAATTATACAGTTAACTGCCCTGCCCTTCTGGAGAAATTAAACTTCTTTTTTCCTGCGCGGAATCTCCGACACGTCCCTCTGTTTTACAC